TAATGTGGGACGCGAGCGATAAGATGGGTTGCGCTCGCGTTATGAACCCCGTGGACAGCGCCGGCAAACGCAACGAGATATACATCGTATGCGTGTATAACGTGGTCGGGAATGAAAATGGCGATTACTTGAGAAATGTGAAGCCAGCCGTTATTGAAGTCAAGTTTTAACACAAAACTAAAATTCATTGGTAATATCTGTATATTTTGGGACCGAAAAATCACCAATTGTTATATAAATACATTATCCTTAATATCTGTATAATTGTCAAGAATATCATGTTTTGAACACAAGATTTCATTTTCTAATAAATTTGACCAGGTGCACATTAATGTATTTTACTAAAATTAAATATATTTCAATTCAAGTGTGGTTATCATATTGTCTCATCGCTAATAATCATCGTTGTAATTATTATTTTTTAAAATGTAAAATATGCAAAGTATATAAACATTACTTTACAAATAGTCGATAGTTTCTTTAAGACATCTGTATTTAATATATTTAAAAAATTTTAATTAAAACAACAAATACTATTCAAAATGAATGAAAATTATAAAAATATACTTTAATAACAGTTTAAATATATTTGTAATACAATGTGTAATACACTTCTATTTATACCATTATTATTGCTGAGCATAGGTTTGTAATCTCGATAATTCTGATGTTTACTGATTAACAAAATTAATATACCAATCCTAGTGTTGGTCAAACACTGTACCACTTCTGGATCATATAGGGACGCCTTTCCGGACAAAACAAATCAGCCATTTTTGAACGACTGTCTCAAAATCACAAACGAACTCCGAACTGCTCACAATTCTCGTCCAATTCATTACGATGATTGGGTACTTGTATATTGTATATTCATTTCTGTACTAATTGTTCACATTTTGTTACAAATTTGCATTTAAATACAGTTAAAAAAGTACGCCATAAAGAGGGCGAAAGACTTGTCAAAGGGGGACGGGTTGTCGTTAAAGCATATGGATCTTGAAAAAGATGTCGGCGAGAATGTATACAGAGCCGTTGGTTAGACTTATATTAGTGTATACCGTATATGCAATAAGATTTCTTATAAACTTTATATACAATTATACAGTATATACAACTTATAATATTATATTATTAATATTTAATAATGACCATTTAATTGTATGACAGGTGGAGATAAAGTAAAAAATTGCACGAATGTCATTAAGAATTGGTATGTTACATAAAACACCAATTAACCACAATAAATAACACTAAATGTGCTAGAGTAACTTACTTTATATGCCTCTTAGGTACCACGAGAAATCATCTTACAAGTACGATGAGCATCAATTCGTGCCAACAGCGAGTTATTTCACGCAACTAATGTGGGACGCGACCGATAAGATGGGTTGCGCTCGCGTTATGAAGCCCGTGCCAAGAGCCGTTAAAATCTACGAGATATATATCGTATGCGTGTATAAAGTGGCCGGGAATAAGCCTGGGGAGTTCAAGAAAAATGTCAAGCCAAGAAGCACACCAGATTTCTAATAAATTATGGATGTAATAAAATATTCATTACTGTATCTTATTGAAATTAAATATATTTATGATTAAAGTGTGGTTATCACTTTGTCTCATCACTACTAATCATTGTTATAATTATTATTTTTTAAAATATAAAATATACAGAGTATATATATACACATTACAAATAATCAATAGTTTCAGAAGACATCTGTATTTAATATAATTAGTAAATTTTAATTATTTCCATAATTATACTTTGATAAATACCGGTATAATAAAAGGATCATAAAATACAATTTACAAACCAATTAATTACTAATTATTCAATAATATCTTATAGAAATACAGTTATATTATATCTCAAACGATAAAAATCGTGTTAATTCTTAGACGGTGTCAGTATATTGAGGTCCGCTTCATTGAATTTTAACCCAATACTGCAATTAATTATAAATCCATTGGTGATATCTGTATATTTTGGGACAAAAAATAATATATTTTTATACATTTTGCTTTATATAACAACATTAATATCAATATATTTGTTAAGAATATCATGTTGTAAACACAAGATTTCATTTTCTAATAAATTCTACCAGGTGCACATTAATGTATCTAACTGAAATTAAATATATTTCGATTCAAGTGTGGTTATCAGTTTGTCTAATCGCTACTAATCATCGTTATAATTATTATTTTTTAAAATATAAAATATGCAAAGTAAATTTATATACACATTACAAATAATCAATAGTTTCTGAAGGCATCTGTATTTAATATATTTAGTAATTTTTAATTAAAACAACAAATATTTTTCAAAATGAATGAAATTTATTATAAAAATTTACTTTAATAACAGTTTAAATATATTTGTAATACAATGTGTAATACACTTCTATTTATACCATTATTATTGCTGAGCATAGGTTTGTAATCTCGATAATTCTGATTATAACTGATTAACACAATTAATATAACAATCCTAGTGTTGGCCATACACTGCAGGTCCGCCTTTCCGGACAAAACAGATCAGGCATTTCTGGACGACTGTCTCAAAAGCACGAACAAAGCGCGAACTGCTCATAAAACTCGTTTAATTAAATACGATAAAGAGGTGTTTATACATTCATTGATGTACTAATTGTCCGCACATTTGGTTACAAATTTATATTTAAATACAGTTACAAAATTACGCAAAAGAGAGGGCGAAATACGCGTCAACTGGAATCGGGCTATCGTTAAAGCATATGAATCTTAGAGAAGATGTCGGCGAGAATATATACCGAGCCGTTGGTTAGCCTTATATTATTATGTATACCGTATATGCAATAAGACGTCTTATAAACTTTATATGCAATTATAAAGTATATATAACTTATAATATAATATAAGATTATTAATATTTAATAATGACAATTTAATTGTATGACAGGTGGAGATAAAGTAAAAGTTTGCGCGAATGCCATCAAGAATTGGTATGATAAATACAACATGCTAACCACAATAAATAACACACTAAATGTGCTACAATAACGTACTTTACCTGCCCTTTAGGTACAGCGAGATCTCATACTACAGCTTCCCTGTGAGTCTATTCGTACCAAAAGCGGGTCATTTCACGCAACTAATGTGGGACGGGAGCGATAAGATGGGTTGCGCTCGCGTTATGAACCCCGTGGACAGCGCCGGCAAACGCAACGAGATATACATCGTATGCGTGTATAAAGAGGCCGGGAATGTGAAGGGCGAGTACAAGGCTAATGTGAAGCCAGCTGTTGGCCAACATATTGGCAATTTTGCCTCCGTTTTCGACTTACCCACACTCTCGGCTGAGGACGACTTATTTGATGAGTAATATTATTTAATTTATGTTTTATAACGTCTTTCATTGTCTAATTAAACTCAAACATAATAATCCATTTCATTACAGATGGGCCGCATAGCGAACGATTTGAAATAATTTGACGGATTTGCTATACATATAATGTTAATAAACCCTCTATACAGCCAACTTCTTCATAACCAATCCTCTCTATTGCGAACGATTTTACTAATATTTAAATCTACTCAACACTCTTGTGAGCGAATATCATGAGAATTTGCTCTAATTATAAATGGTTATAAATTATAAATTATTTATGTTGTTTACATTTATACCACATTTTATATGTATTGTGGATTGTATGAAATAATTATGCAAAACATCTACTAGTACTATGGTCAACTTTTATGATAATAAAAAATTTTTAATTTTTTTTGTTTATGAGAAAATTAAATTAATATGTCTTATTAATCCCGTCGGGTCGGTCATTAACCACATCCAAAACATAAAATTTTTAAATTAAACTTACATTAAATATTATGGAATTAATTAGTTTAGATTTTAAAATGATTTTTAAAATAAGTATAACTTAAATTTATTTTTGTATGTACCCTGAAAATAATTTAAAAGACAATTGATCGCTTTGGCTACAATAATTAATTTACTCACCATAGAAAGTTTGATCTAAAATTACCAATCAAATAAACAATAAAATCGGATTATATTTTGAGTTGGAAATTATACAATTATTTATTAATTAAAAAGTTATTAAGATGTAGAATCGTCCAAAGTTGCTATGGTTTGACTTGTATAATAAAACTGTTAATTAAATAATTTTATAATCTATATAAACAGTTTTAGATCTTTATTTACATTGTCTTTATTATAACAATTGTTTTAAAATTTTAATTTCAAGTAAATAATAACATACATATTTTTATTAAATGTTATGAAATCAATGACTTTATGGTCACCTTATTCCTTTTTATTAAAATGTTTTAAACTTGTTATAAATTATAAAATTTAATATAAAAATATGCAAAATATAAGCACATTAATGTATAAATAGTCAATGGTTTCATAAGACATCTGTATTTTTAATATATTTAGTAAATTTTAATTAAAACAACAAATACTATTCAAAATGAATGAAATTTGTAAAAAATATACTTTAATAACACTTTAAATATAAAGTTTTAATACTTTATTTGTAATACAATGTGTAATACACTTTTATTTATATCATTATTATTGCTGAGCATAGGTTTGTAATCTCGATAATTCTGATGTTTACTGATTAACACAATTAATATAACATTCCTAGTGTTGGCCATACACTGCAGGTCCGCCTTTCCGGACAAAACAGATCAGGCATTTCTGGACGACTGTCTCAAAAGCACAAACAAAGCCCGAACTGCTCATAAAACTAGTCTAATTAAATACGATAACGAGGTGTTTATACATTTATTTCTGTATTAATTGTCCACACATTTGGTTACAAATTTCTATTTAAATACAGTTACAAAAATACGCTAAAGAGAGGGCGAAATACATGTCAACGGGAATTGGTTTGGCGTTAAAACACAAGAACCTTAAAGAAGATGTCGGAGAAAATATATACCGAGCCGTTGGTTAGACTTATATTGTTATGTATACCGTATACAAAGACTTATAATAAGACTTCTTATATATTAATTATTAGGATATAAATTGATAGTTTACAAACAATATCGGTGAATTATAATATTTAATCATACCAATTAAATTTTATAACAGGTGGAGATAAGGTGAAAGTTTGCATGAATGCCATCAAGAATTGGTATGTTACTTACCGAGGTGCTAACCACCACACATATTACATAACACAAAATGCTTGTAAATAAAATACAGTATTATATGCCCTTTAGGTACAGCGAGATCTCATACTACAGCTTCCCTGCGGGTCTATTTGTGCCAAAAGCGGGTCATTTTACTCAACTAATGTGGGACGCGACCAAAAAGATGGGTTGCGCTCGCGTTATGAACCCCGTGGACAGCGCCGGAAAACGCAACGAGATATACATCGTATGCGTGTATAAAGAGGCCGGGAATGTGAAGGGCGAGTACAAGGTTAATGTAAAATCACCTACCAAGAAAATTGCCAATTTTGCTGCCAATTTGGATCTCGATGTAACTACGCTATCGCCAGCCGATGCCTTATTTAATGAGCCCGATGTTGTACTGCG